TAGAGATCTGAGGACAGTTTAGAGATCTGAGGACAGGGTTCCTTAAAGGTTAACTGTATGTTTGTCTCATCAGGTTATTCGGTTTGATGGAGGGGAATATGTGTCGATGGCTGGAGAGTTTAATGAGCTGAAGAAGGTGAGTGTCACTGAAATGAATGATGAAGAATGAGTGTGAAATGCCTGAGGCTCATTGATGAGGAGTGATAAAGATGTGTTTCTCTCTCTATCTCTCTCTCAGGTGACTCCTGATCAGTGGGACGTGATGGAGGCGATGATCAGAAGCACTAAAGGATCCTAAAAATCTTCTGATGACCGAAGAACCATCAGATCGCAGTGTGCAGTGCGCGCGCCTGCTGATGTCATATTGATTGATTTTTGACTTAGAGCAACATATCTCAATACTATTAGCCTATTAGAATGTAGTTGTGGCACTGTCATGTGACCTACTGCACATGCTCAGTGTGAACTCAAACACTTTTTTGTCATTTTGATAATAAAAGTTTAACCCAAACACTGAATGTTTGTGTTGTTTGACGATACAAGGTTTCAGTGAGCACAGGAGTTCTTTTGATCCAGTGAACACAGGTGTAGTTATGATCCAGTGAACACAGGTGTAGTTATGATCCAGTGAACACAGGTGTTGTTATGATCCAGTGAACACAGGTGTTGTTATGATCTAGTGAACACAGGTGTAGTTAAGAGGTTTCAGTTATATGGAAAGCCGATTGAACATATATTAGATATCCTTGATATCAAAGCTCAGTTTCTTGTACTAGTGAGGTATTTGGCTGCACTAGTTTACTAGTAGAACGCTGAAACATTTACTAGTAAACTAGTAGACAACAAAAATCCTACATGTTAACTAGTGAGGTGCAAAATATCTACTAGTTAACTCGTAAGAGCCAAAATGTCAAATATTACCCATGTACACACAGGTACATCTCTTCTTGTTCATATTAAAACATTTTAACATTTCACAACTAGCAAACCAGAATGACCTGCAGCTTGATATCAAACCTGGTATATTATTTATTCATTATATTATATATTCACAGTCAGAACAGTTACAGTCGGAAACAGCAACAGTCAGAACAGTTAGTTTTATTTTTAGATCTTCAGACACTGAAGCTCCTACAGCCATGCAGCTGTCTCTCACTTGTCTTTACACTTCTTTGTTAGAACCTCTACTAAAACCCTGTTTTACATTGTGTCTTCATTATATTATTATTAAATTGCCCCATGCTAATTGTTGTTTTTATAAATGAACAAAAACTCAACAAATATTTCAGATTTTCCCGCCACTTTATTGTGTAAGTCCAATCAGATGTGTCCTTAAAATGTAGCTAATTTAAAGGTTCGTATTGAAAATAGACCTATCATTGTCAGTGTGTGTTGATGCTCTGCTGCTGACAGCGGCTAATCATTGTTGCAACAAGTTTCTGCAGAACTTCAGCTCTCATCTTGCTGATCTGAAGAACCTCCTCATGGTTCACCTTCTCCTCCCGACTGTAGTCCAAAGACACCTGCAGCAAGATACAGGTACACTATTACAGTCGACTACAGTTAAATCACAATCACAGACTACAGTTCATCAAAGTCAGACTACAGTCAGATCACAGTCAGACTATAGTCATATCACAGTCAGACTACAGTCAGATCACAGCCAGACTACCGTGAAATTAGCCAGACTACAGTAAGATCACAGTCAGACTAGAGTTAAATTAATCAGACTACAGTCAGATCAGTCAGACTACAGCCAGATCACAGTCAGATCACAGTCATACTACAGCCAGATCACAGTCAGATCACAGTCAGACTACAGTTCAATCACAGTCAGAATACAGTTAAATCAAAGGCAGACTACAGTTCAATCACAGTCAGACTACAGTTAAATCAAAGTCAGACTACAGTTCAATCACAGTCAGACTACAGTCAGATCACGGTCAGACTACAGTCAGATTATAGTTAAATCACAGTCAGACTACAGTCAGATCACAGTCAGACAACAGTTAGGTCACAGTCAGACTACAGTTAAATCAAAGTCAGACTACAGTCAGATCACAGTCAGTCTACAGTTAAATCAAAGTCAGACTACAGTCAGATCACGGTCAGACTACAGTCAGATTATAGTTAAATCACAGTCAGAATACAGTCAGATCACAGTCAGACTACAGTTAAATCAAAGTCAGACTACAGTCAGATCACAGTCAGTCTACAGTTAAATCAAAGTCAGACTACAGTCAGATCACGGTCAGACTACAGTCAGATCACAGTCAGACTACAGTTAAATCAAAGTCAGACTACAGTCAGATCACAGTCAGTCTACAGTTAAATCAAAGTCATAATACAGTCGAATCGGGTCAGACTACAGGCATATCACAGTCAGACTACAGTCAAATCAAAGTCAGACTACAGTCAGATTACAGTCAGACTACAGTCAGATCACAGTCAGATCACGGTCAGACTACAGTCAGATCACAGTCAGACTACAGTTAAATCAAAGTCAGACTACAGTCGGATCAGGTCAGACTACAGTTAAATAAAAATCAGACTACAGTCGGATCACAGTCAGACTACATTCAGATCACAGTCAGACTATATTTAAATAAGTCAGATCACAGTTAGACTACAGTTAGATCACAGTCAGACTACATTCAGATCACAGTCAGACTATAGTTAAATAAGTCAGATCACAGTTAGACTACAGTCGGATCACAGTCAGACTACATTCAGATCACAGTCAGACTATAGTTAAATAAGTCAGATCACAGTTAAGACTACAGTTAGATCACAGTCAGACTACAGTTAAATAAGTCAGATCACAGTCAGACTACCTTTTATTACTACTACTAGATTACCCTGGCAGTCAGACCTTGTTAGTGATGAGGGACAGGCCGAGGACTCTGAGGCCGCAGTGTTTTGCCACGGTCACTTCAGGAACTGTGCTCATACCTGACAAAGGAAAAGAAGAAGAAGAATGAATGTGTTGGGATTTTTTAGATTTACTTCAAGGTTTAAAAACACTGAAAGCCTTTTAGACTACGACTTGTAAATGATTCTTAAGCTTCCTGTGAAGGTCACCCTTAATATCCAGTCAGTGTCTGCCTGTCTGTGTGCTCTCCTGTCTGCCTTACCCACAGAGTCACATCCAAGGATCCGCAGCATTCTGGCCTCAGCGATGGTCTCGAAGTTTGGCCCGCTCACCATACAGTAAACGCCTTCTCTGATGAAGTCATTGCAGCCCAGCTCTAACCCCGCCTCCAACACCAACCGCCGAAGATCCTTACTGTACGCATCAGACATACAGGGGAACCTGATCCCGAAGCTACAGACAGACAGACAGACAGGCACACAGACAGACAGAGAGACAGACAGACAGCAGGAGAGACGGATTGATTCCCATTGTTACTTTAATTGGACATGTTATGTCTGTCTGTCTGTCTGTCTGTCTGTCTGTCTGTCTGTCTGTCTGTCTGTCTCTGTCTGTCTGTCTGTCTGTCTGTCTGTCTGTCTGTCTGTCTCTCAGTCTCTCTGTTTGTCTGTCTGTCTGTCTGTCTGTCTGTCTGAATGTCTCTCAGTCTGTCTGTCTGTCTGTCTGTCTGTCTGTCTGTCTGTCTGACTGTCTGAATATCTCTCAGTCTCTCTGTCTGTCTGTCTGTGTGTCTGTTTGTCTGTCTGTCTGTCTGTCTGTCTGACTCTTATGTCTCACCGCTCGTCGTTGGGTCCACACAGTGGGTGTTGTCCAGCGAACCCTGGCAGGTTGATGTGGTCTTTGATGATCATGATGTCACCGACTTTGAAGTCTGGACAGATTCCACCTGAGGCGTTAGTCACCAGCAGAGACTCCACCCCCATCAGCTTAAAGATCCTGACAGGAAGCGTCACCTGAGACAGGTACACACACAGGTATGCAGAGGTTTCAAACAGGTACACACACAGACACACATGCACACACAGGGTACACACATCCACACACAGGCACACACACATGCACACACAGGGTACACACACATGCACACACAGGGTACACACATCCACACACAGGCACACACACATGCACACACAGGTACACACATGCACACACAGGTACACACAGGTTTCTCTCTCTTTATCTCTCTCTCTTTTCTGTCTCTTCAACATGAGTCTGGTTCTGATCCAGGTTTCTGTCTGTTCATCATGAGTCTGGTTCTGATCCAGGTTTCTGTCTGGTTCTGATCCAGGTTTCTGTCTGTTCATCATGAGTCTGGTTCTGATCCAGGTTTCTGTCTGTTCATCATGAGTCTGGTTCTGATCCAGGTTTCTGTCTGTTCATCATGAGTCTGGTTCTGATCCAGGTTTCTGTCTGTTCATCATGAGTCTGGTTTTGATCCAGATTAGACCTGCTTTGCTTGTAATGTGTCTGCAGATATAATATGCTAGGACTTTGTGCTATACAAATACAGATTGGTTAATTGATCATTTGATTGGTTAATTGATCATTTGATTGGTTAATTGATCATTTGATACACTGTGCTCCCAATGTATGCTGGGTATAATGGGAGATGTCAGAGGGACTCACCTGGCAGAGGGAGTAACCCTCGTACAGGTGAAAGTGACCCTGCATGAAAACACAAGATGTGCCCTCGATGGTTCCAAACACCAGGCATCCTTCATGACCTGCCACTGAGAGAGGTTTCAGAAAGATGAGCGGAAAGAATCAACACCTGCAGTCAGCAGTGGGAGGGGCTGACTCACCTGTGCTGACAGGGAAGTTGGGGATGTCCTGGTACCTAAAGGTCTGCTTGTTGGCAGCCCCGTCTGCCAGCAGGCCGAGTCCTGAACCGCAGATCACTGCCACCTTGGGCCGGTGACTTGTGTGGTTCAGCAGCCACTGGGTGGTCAGCTTGTAGTCCTCGAAGGAGCAGCTGCTGTGATTGCAAAGGAGGAAGCTCAGGTGTTGTTATCGTTTGTACCGCCTGAAGTCCAAACCATTCCATCCCACATTAAATAAATCTGATGGAAAATATCCTACATTTGGGTCACGATTTCTCATGAAGGAATTAAAAACCACTGTACTGAGGGAGTCATAATGAGTGGAAAGTTATAAGTTTAACATTCACATTAAAGCTACTAATTATGAATAACACTGAATGAAGACGAGTTACTAAAATATTCACAATAAAATGAGCTGTAGAGACCCAAACTGTTTCTGTACCAGGATGTAAACATGTTTATTTTAACATAGAGCTCTATGGGGACTGACTCACTGCAGGAGACAGACTCTAGTGGACACTGGAGGAACTGCAGCTGTAAAGTTAGACATTTTAACACGGGGCCCTATGGGGACTGACTCACTGCAGGAGACAGACTCTAGTGGACACTGGAGGAACTGCAGCTGTAAAGTTAGACATTTTAACACGGGGCCCTATGGGGACTGACTCACTGCAGGAGACAGACTCTAGTGGACACTGGAGGAACTGCAGCTGTAAAGTTAGACATTTTAACACGGGGCTCTATGGGACTGACTCACTGCAGGAGA